TATTAGGAAAAAAAAAACCCCTAAAATCAAATTCTTGTAAATTATACCTCTTGTAAGTTAGCACAGGGTAGTAATAAGTCTTTTATTAAATTGACCTAGACTGTAATGACACAATTTAGATGTCCTATTCAGTTGATTAAATGAGGTGTTCCCTGAATTGACCTTTTTTTAAAGAAGAGAATATTGCTTTTCAACAATCACCCAAGATTTGTTTTTTAGCTTTTTAAATAAGAAATGTCAGTGTCCTGCCCTCAAACCATTGCAGCGTTTGGGATGAATAAAAGGTGTATAAATCACAAAAAATGTGTGTTAGACTACGGGATTTGCACATCAAAGACATCTTTACAGACACATCACCCAAAGCAGTGATAGTGAAGAGAAAGATAAACAGCTGGGACTACATCAAATTAAAGAGCTTCTGCACAGCAAAAGAGACAATAACAAAAACAAAGAGAAACCCCACCAACTGGGAGAACATTTTTGCACCCAACACTAATGATAAAGGACTGATCACAAAAATCTGCAAAGAGCTGATGAGACTCAGCAACAACAAAGAATATAATCCAGTCAAAAAATGGGCAGAAGAGCTAAAAAGAAACTTCTCTGAAGAGGAAATGCAAATGGCCAACAGACATATGAAAAATGTTCAACATCACTTGTAATCAGGGAAATGCAAATCAAAACTACCATGAGATACCATCTCACACCAGTGAGAATGGCACATATTAAAAAAACTAGCAACAACAAATGTTGGCGAGGATGTGGAGAAAAAGGAACTCTTGTGCACTGTTGGTGGGAGTGCAAACTGGTCCAACCACTATGGAGAGCTGTGTGGAGATTTCTGGACCTACTAAACATAGAGCTTCCATATGATCCAGCAATTCCACTCCTAGGTATTTACCCAAAGGACACAGAAACATCAATTCCAAAGAGCACCTGCACTCCTATGTTTATAGCAGCACTGTTTACAATAGCTAAGCTTTGGAAACAACCCAAAAGCCCAAAAATAGATGACTGGATCAAGAAGATGTGGTACATATATACCATGGAATATTACTCAGCATTCAAAAAAGATAAACACATGCAATTTGCAGCAACATGGATGGCACTGGAAGGGATCATGCTCAGCGAAATAAGCCAAAAAGAAAAAGAAAAATACCGGATGGTCTCACTCATAGCAGGAATCTAGAAAACTTAAATAAGGGACCAGGAAAATGAATATAAGAAAGTGAAAATCAAAATCAACAAAAAACTATGAACCAGAGACACTTTTTGGGGGGTGGGGGGCGGGAGGGGAAGGATTGGGGTCAGAATGGGGCGTTTGCAATTGTATGGGGGAATATAAAAATAAAATTTAATATTTAAAAAAAAAAAAATGTGTGTTAGCTGACTAATGTTTACCAGTGATAATCAACTGAGAATTCTTGTTTTTAAACTGCATTGACTCTTCTCAACCAAATATTTATCTAACTGCCATAGTCAATAATTCTTAGGCTACTCAATTGTTTTCAAACAAAAATGTCAACTGTGCTGATTTCCTGATTGTCCATGAACATTTTTTTTTACATACATATAACACATCAGGAAAGGAAACAGGACAACTCCATGCTGTGCTAAGGAAAATAATTTGAATGAAAAAATATTATCTTTAGATAAGACTATTTCCTCGACTTTGAATGATATCTTACTAATTTGTTCAGCATATGCTAGAATATAAATGTGTGTGACATATATTTCTTCCTATCATGGATAATACTTCTTATCTATCAATGCCTCAATCACCACCCCCATATGAACCCAACATGTCATTGTAAAGTTCAATAAGACAAGAAAGTAAGCATTTCCATTAAGTGGAAAGAATAGGGAGTTGTGTAAGAATGAACTTCCAGGGAGTTGCTGAGAAAAATGAGAGCCCCAAGAAAAAACAGAACAGTCTGCAAGTTTCATGAGAAACTTATGATTCTGGGTGGTTCTTTATAGTTCTCTTTTTACTAAAGTCTATCAGCACTTTTGACTTCTCCCTTTTATAAAAATAACCCTTTTCTTTTGTACTTAAAGGAATTTTCTCCCAGAAATTGTAGATTTATAAATACTCATGCCACATAACTGTAATTTGTATATATTCATTAAAATGTACATTGATAGGATAGTAACATTCTGGGGAAAATAGCCTTTTAGGAAGTTATAGATTCAGGACCCTCAGGCTATGAAAGAGTTACTTTGCCTTTTGTGTGCAACCATTAATTTAAAAGGATCTTTGATCTTCTAGCATCTAAAATATCTTAGAATTAAGCCCAGGACGTGTGTTACACAGGTTCCTTCCCCAGCGTTCTATATGCTTTGAGCTTACATTTTATTAATGTTCAAGAAAATGTATTGTATCAGCATATAATATATGTGTATCTGACTTACATATATACAAGTCAAAGCCTTTCTGTTAAATACAGCCAAGGTTGTACAGTAATGCATTCATTATTAATACAGTAAAAAATAACTTTTAATAACACTAAATTATGAAAATGAAACATCAAAAATGCCTAATGTTCAGCCACCAAACTAAATGTGGTCCACTTTAAGGTTTTGGGATATTCCCCAATATAAATGGGAAGAGACACAAACAAGGAATTTATAATTACTGCTATTATCCCAATAAACTCTAGGCCACTCAAGCCCACTGGCCACAGGCTTGCAGCAGAAAATGGGAACCTGAAGTCATAGATCACCTCCACCTTCCATGATGTGAGTTTTATGCTGGGAGATAAACTGACCTTTTGGCTAAGGTGTCTGACCTCTCCTTCCCCTGACAGCTATTTCTCTCTCCAGACAGCTGCTGTTACAAACAAACTGCTAGGCAGCACTTTGACAAATGAAGCTCAACCAGGATTCTTTGTTTCTGTGAGGCCAACAGGCAGGCATTCCACAGGCTCATTAGGGGACTGTGAATTACTGCCAGGCTAGGCCTGCTCTTTCTCCTCCCTGCAATTCCAGTGGCCACACATTCCCATGATCTGCGGGGGCAAGATTATGCTGTCCACAGTTCACATTCCATCTTGTCAGGGTCCTCTCAAAAATAAATAATATTTATAGCAGAATCAGAGCTGGTGAAAGAAAATGGGGAAAGAAATCTCTTCAGAAAATATAGACTTGACAATAGAATCCACTGGATCTGTGGTTGTTAAACCACTCTCCCAGGACTTCAGAAATCTTTGTAAGCAGACATTGTGCCAGCATTTATCAAAACCCCAAGTCCAAGGCCACATGAAGAACATAAAAAAAAGTTACCAAAAACCATGTAACAAAGTATTTCTACAGCCTGAGAATGTTTCATTCAATAGTCACTGAAGAGTTGCCAGTGACCTGGTGTTCAAGGCCTTCTGCTAAGTTTCTGTTAAAAAAAGCCCGAGTCAAAAAATGCCAATTATCTACTTCTGCTTTATATCAACAACTTGGGAAACCCAAATAAAAAAAAAGCTGACGGTTCTTCATGCAAATATTCAAACCGTGCTGAAGGGACTATATCTTAGAATCAATGGTCAGCAAACTAGGACTTACTGGCTGGACCTGGCCTTCTGTATGTTTCTCTGGCCCGTGATCTAAAAATGGCTTTCACATTTTAAAATGAAAAATTTTTAATTTTTACTGTTTTAATAATTTTCTCTTGAAAAAAACTCAAGAGAAGAATGTTTTGTGATACATGAAATTTTACATAAATTCATGTTTCAGAGCTGATCAAGTTTTACTGGGACATGGCCACTCTGATTCATTCCCCTATGGCCTGTGGGGCTGGGAGGGAGAGCTGAGTGGCTGCAATAGACACTGTGTGGCCTACAAAACCTGAGATGCTTAATTTCTGGCCCTTGAGAGAAAATGTGTGCCTACTGTTGTTTTAGATTGTAAAATAACCGTTTGCTTTTGCTGAGATATCTGAGTGAGAACATATACCCCAGGCTTTGTTAGGAAGCCTTATAAACGCATGGGGACTGCAAAAAAAGGAAGCAATGAAGACCTGAAAAATCAGTCAATTCATGAACTTGACAGTGCTAGACAAGCAGAGGTAGGCCACCAACTGGAATCACTCACATGGCACTTCCAGATCAAATCCTTCAGAGCATGAAAAACATCCATGTTCTTTGATGGCATGGAGGTAGAATTGATGTTTCTTTTTAATACCAATTTTTCTAATTTCCAACACTGTCTTCCTATACATGTGATTTGCTCTTTTTTGCCTCTAGCCCTAGATTCTCAAGAAGGCACTAGTCAGTCTTTCTCAGGGAAAAGGCGTAAAACAGAATCCCAGGAATAAGGTGTGACTTGAGCAGCCAGTCCTGAGAGTTGATGGCTACCACCCTTCGGCCTGTGAATCTCCAGGAATGACCCTGTGAAAATGAGAGGGAACTCAGCCGTGCTGCCAACAGGCTGTGCTGAGTGAAATGAATGACAAGGCAGAAGCCCACTCATCAGTCATTAAAGCAGTCACTGGATTCCAGTGGTTACACCTGTCTGCATTCTCTCCAACACAAGATTCAGAAAAGGAAAGGAAAGGACCAGTGGGAAATTAGTGCTGTAACACTTTCATGAAGGAATCTCCCTCTGGGATGGCATTTTGTCCCTTGATGTTTGGAACTAAAATGTGAAGGAAAAAGATGTCCACCTCTGTGTTAGAACTGCCTGGTTGCCTGCATCCAGATTCACACCACACTGGTGATTCACAACTCACCTGGGCAATCGGACACACCTCAATACAGTGGCAACCTGTACCACTGGGATCCCAGCTCAGCCTTCTAGAAACCTCTAGGCTTTTCATTTAGCACAGGTTATCCTCTTTGCTATTCTATTGTTTTTCCCTGCCTGAAGTATCTGTTTCACTTGACAAGTTGAGAATAGGAACTCATTATTAACATGTAACATTGTTTTCCCACAAAGGGCAGACAGAATTGTTTTTTTTTTTTTCCAGAGATGCAACCAAATACATTTTTAGACAAAACAACTGATAAACTCACCTAGAAAAATCCCCTTTTGCCTCCTGTAGAAGAAAAAAGTCCAACATCAGTGAAACAGTCCAACCCCATGTGACAGACATTTAAATACTTCCTATACTGATAACTCCTCTGCAAGCTAAATTCAGTTTCCCATCGACTATAAGAGTATAATTCAAAAAGGATGCATACATTTGCCACTTGAATACAAGACACTAAAGTACAGAATATATATAAAGAAAATGATTCATAATAACAATTGGCCTTACTCTAACTTTTTCTAGTTTAAAGAATCTGAATCTGAATGTGCATTTGAGTACAACTGTCTATTAAGTTACTTAAGTCTATTGAGTTACTTTTTGTTTTCTTCTTTTCTTCTGATTATATACTAAAGACTCTGGAGGCAGGAACCATGGGACTTTTAGTGAAACTGGTATAATGCCTTACACACAGTAGCTGAGCAATAAATCTTTGTTGGCAGAATAATGATATCACTTCAGTTCATACTGCCAATATTGCTAATATTTGGTAGTACTTGTTTTCCCATAAGCTAAAGGTTTTTTCTTTGTCTTTCTTGGCAATGACTTCCTGCTAATTACTTGGCTTTCCCCAGATAACGGGAGAGTGCCAAACCCGAAGAAAATGGGGTCAGCAAATGACCTCAGTTTTCCCCAGGATCAGGTTACACACATGTGTCCTCTGTAGTAATATATTGTCTTAAAATTCTGGAACACCAGAAGTTCCCATTTACTGCTCTGATGTTGTTTCCTTGCAAACACTTTTCCTATGTGCTAAAAATAATTCAGAAGACACAGAACTGTGGGATGGAGTAGCTGATCATGCGTGCTAAGTCTTAGTCCTCTTCTGAGTATGGCTCTGGGAAACGGTGGGGGGCGGGTGGAGACCACTCACCTGTAAAATATAGGAGGCTAATTCAAACACCACTTCACTGTCAACATCAATCAGCTCCTGAAAGGAAAACCAAGAAGGTAGCTAAGTCTACTATTTCAACAATGGCTTCTTTATGGCATCTTCCTAAAAAGAGGTTCAGTTTCCTTTCCTGAGGAGGTCCCCAGAATCTTAAATAGAACACTCTGGTTCAGAGGCAACCTCTGAATCACTTGGCCCCAAATGTCCCTTTTTAGCAGCTCTGAGTGAGAAATGATCAGGCAGTCCTGGACCTACACAAGTCATAGCAAAGGCCTCATCTTTATTTTTTTTTAAATATTTATTTATTTATGCATACCAGAGTGGGGGTACAGGCCAGAGATGCGGTGGGTGAGAGGATTCACCAGAAACAGTGGGGAACAGAACAGGCAGATTGACCGAAGTACACTGCTGAGGGGAGCAGCGGGAGCGTCAGGAGAGGTCTGCTGCGACATGTTGGGTGCTCCCTGGCAGGCCGGGGATGGAACTTATGCTGCAGAGGCTGCGGATTGCTTCATAGTGTAGTGCTTAACCCCTTGCACCACCAGGGAGGCCCAAAGACCTCATCTTTAAACCTTGATGAGAAATTAAGGAAGGGGCCAATCTCCAGCCCTTTACAAATCTGTTAATCCAATTAATCACCAGGAGCTTTATTGAAGGAAATGTCCAATGAGATTGCTTACTCTTTAAATCAAATAAAATTAAAAATACAGTTTCTTGGCTGCACTAGTCACATTTCTTTCCTGGGCTCCATGTGGCTGTGGGCTACCCCGGGGGTCAGAGCAGACATCTCCTGCTGCAGAAACCCCCATGGGCCAGCACTGCAACCATGCAGTCACAGTTTAAAAACTGCTTCTGCTCCACGAGTTCTCCCAAATATTTAATCATGATCTTTAAGAACACAAGTATATTCTTAAAGGAATGGAAAACTCTCTTTGGCATTTGAAATAATCCAATGTCTATGTTTTTCAAAATGTGTACAGTTCGTTGCTCTCTTTTTTTCTTACTAGCTTTATTAAGGTAGGATTGAAAATAAAAATAAAAAAACCCCTGCATGTTCAATATACACAGTCTGATGAGTTTGGATCTATGTATATATATCTGTGATACCATCACCACATTCAAGGTAACAAACATATTCACCTTCAAAAGCTGCCTGGTGTTGTGTGTGTGTGTGTGTGTGTGTGTGAATGTGTGTGTGAATGTGCTTGGATTTTGTTTTTTGGTGGTAAGAACACTTAAGAGATCTAGTGCCCTAACAAACTGTCAAGTGTACAGCATTGTATTTTACATGCAGTTCACATTTAAAGAAAAAGGGAGTCCTGGAGCCCATCAGCACACAGAATAATAATCAAATTAAGTGACGTGGTACTTCTGTTGTCATGCTAAAGTACAAATGTCCACCTTTCTTCTCGTTCCTAATGTTACCAGATCCTGTAGTGTGTGAGCTGAGTATAGAAAGTTAGAGCTGGCACAGACTAGCTAGCTCACCCCCTGTTTTTATTGAGAACAGGCATCCAAACCATTAAGGGACTCACCCAAAGTCACAAGGCTTTAATGACAGTGATGGGGCAGGGAACAACCCTCCTGCACATGTTCTTGTCCAACATGTGACCTCCCTGCGGGCATGCATTCCCCCAACTCAATAAGGAAGGGCTTAATTCTCAGAACCACATCTGTCATCGAAGTTAGCTAAGACAGAGTGACTTTTCACTTGAGTTATAAACTGAATTTTGATTCATGGATTTTCGAATTATTTTTTGTGGTCCAGAATTGACCTCATTCATTGAAAACAATGCATTGGAGCAAGCCTACATCTTTTGAGAAAGGAAAGTCATTTGGGCTCTCTTTCAGGCTTAGGAATTTCAAAGATGGATAATAATATCTGCTACACACCTTGGAAGCGTGGACTGAAAGAACTAACAAGAACAAATGGAAGAATCGGGGACAATAATTCTTCATACTTAACCAGCTCAAAGTGCTTTATGGCCACGGTAATTGATACAGACTGTCAGTGCTGGGATGTGCAGGAATGCCTGGAATTGCAGTTGTGGGATTACCAGGTCCCATCAGAACGTAAATCATTTAACAGCGTACAAATGATTTAACAGAAACACTGTCCAGGTTTCCACAATGGATCATTTCTACTCTCACCATGTTCATTTCCATTCCCACCAAGCAACTTCCTGAACACGCTCTCATGTGTCCCAGCTAGTGTGCTGCAGCGCATGCACTCTGTCAAACAGTCACACCCGTGTTGCAGCTAATGGTCAACAGTGGGCTAATATTTAACATCCATGGAGAGGTTTACCTAATGGGCAACTCAAAGCCAACCATCAGCAAGAAATTCTTTCAGGTGCTTTTGGTCTGTTGTTCAACTCATTTGCTAAATGAAAATATCTATACCTGGGGTTTGGGGGATGTAGGGGTTGCAGAGCAGAGGTGGGAAACATGGGGGGAGGTTTTTCCTTTTTTTATTTTACACAGTCTATTATGTATTTTTCAGGAGAAACTGTTGGACACTAATCTCGTGATGAACATTAATAATAAATGATTATTCCAAGTAAAACTACTGAAAACGCACTATTTAGTGTCTAACCTGATGCATCCAGGTTCTCTCTCATCATATTTGTTCTCAAAGTCAGTGGGAGCTAACACCTCTAACTGGGGTGAACTTGTACCTTTTCTGACCTTAACCATTTCCCAGTGAAGATATTAAAAATAGTGAGATTCAAATGTGGTGAGTACAAGGGAAAAGAATGAAGTGGCGCAGACATAGCACATTTGTATGATCTGATGGAAAAGAGCTGTTATTACCTCTTGCCTTTGCCATTTAAATTTAGTGAGTTTAAGAATCACCTAGTTGTCCTCAGAGGAGTTCAGTACAGAGATCTAAAGGGTGTGTAGGAACAATCTAGAAAATGGTGGGGGGGTGGGTAGGGTGAGACACATTCCGAGTTGTTAAGGCAATACTTCCCTACCTTGCAGTCTCTGCCTATTTCCCTAGCGTCTCCTATTTTGAATACTTTCCCTCTATCCCTGGCTCTCTCAGGAGGTTTTACTGTAACACTCTACTTCCGAGGCCTAGAGCTGCAGTTCTGCCCACATCACACCATTCCCACTGCATTTTGAATGCTGAAGCTGAGGAGTTACTAGTTTTCTGGGACCTTCCTATCGGAACTGTGCTCTGCCACATAATATTAAGAAGCTGGATATGCTTCTTTTTCATCTGACCTCGCTTGCAATCCAGAGGCGGCTTCTTTCCCATCTTTCTGCCCAAGCAGAATACACTGAATGTGACCACAGTGAGTGTGTGCAAAAGTCCTATTTCCCTGGAGTGCTGAGTTTGCCCTTGACTGGGGATGAAACATGAAGGAGGGGGACAGGGGAACCTTCATGGAAAATCTGCTGCTGTCTCCCACTTGGTACTCTGCAGGTGCTGGTGGTGTGACACCCCCATGTCCCAGTGCTCCTGGAGCCATTTGAGGAGGGGTGCTGAGCCCGAATCACCCCTGGGAACTCTAGGGTGCTCTGTTGAGAACCCAGTAATTTTTCTCTTGAGGCCCACTGGTAAGAGGGAGATGCTAGTAGAAGGGGAGGTGGACATGTGATGCTTAGTAGTTACTGCAGCGATTTGGTGTGCAGGGAGCGAATGGTGCAGGGAGACAAAGCAGGATGATGTGCAGTGTGAGCACATGTGTGCAGGGCAGGGCTGGGAGAATGGCACCACTTCCTCCCAGCAGCACCAACAGTGATAGGTCCTGAAGGAATAGGCCTGAGGGCATTGATCAGCAACATTAATGCTCACAATATCCTCAGAAAGATTTCTACCCAGGGGCTCCAAGTGTGCTAAGCAAACACCCCACGAGATCGTCAAGTGGCAGGTGTTATGAACGTTTTCCAAAGTCTGAGAGCCGAGGGGCTCTTCACAATCTTCTCGCTCAGGAGGCCTAGTGGGTGGTCTTTACACTGAGCTGAATTCATAATGGAAAGTGTCCCTCATGGTCAGGAATTACAGAAATTGCAACTGTCATATAAGATGAATGAGATAATTATAACAGAAGATTATAATATAATGAGATTTCCGTAAGAACGACCTCTGCAAAGTCCATTCAGAAGGCTTGAGGGTTGACCCAGGGTTCCCCAAGAATCCTTACAGACTATTACTACCTTTCTTTTTACGCATAAAATGTCTAAAGATTACAGTCCTTGCCATCCTCCTTAAGAGCTTTTCTATTCTCACCTGAAAGTTTCAGGTTCTAGTTCCAACCCCCAACATCCTGAGGACACTGAATCAATCATTTGACCAACAATGAGCTTCCTCTGCCTCCTTAGTAGACTGGGGGGTAACCATTTCTTTTCTAGTGATTTTACTGAGTTTAGAAGACATAAATGTAGATGTGATTGGAAATGATAAAACACTACAAACGCCATGTCTATATGATTCTTTTTGATTTTTGGTGTTCACCTTTAGTCTCTTTTTTTAAAAAAAGATTTATTTATTTAGGTATACAAGAGCTGGGATACAGGCCAGTGATGCGGGTGTGTGTGTGTGTGTGTGTGTGTGTGTGTGTGTGAGAGAGAGAGAGAGAGAGAGAGAGAGAGAGAGGATTCACCAGAGTGGGGAGCAGAACAGGCAGACTGACTGAAATACACTGCTGAGGAGAGCAGCGGGCGAGTCAGGAGAGGTCCGCTTCGCCATGTGGGTTGCTCCCTGGCCAGCTGGGGATCAAACTCGTGTAACAGAGGCTGTGGATTGCTTCATAGTGTGGTGCTTAACCCGTTGTGCCACCAGGGAGTCCCTCAGCCTCTATTCTTTAGTTTTGCCTCTGCTCTTCAAGATTTTAAACATTTATAGGAATCTTTAGTAAAGACACAGGTTTTCAAAGAGGTGGGCAGCATTGTGATATGTGTGTTTGTATGTGTGTGCACCTGTGTGCATCCAGGTCACTGTGTACACCATCACAGAGGATCTGGATGCCCAAACCTGCCTCCCTGTGCTTCTACAGCTGCTCTGCTTCATTGCCCAACTAATAATGACT